ATGGATGAGAAAGCCCTCTTTCTTTACTGTCTCTCCTGCTTTCTTCCTACTCTGATGTCAATCCACGAAGCCGACAAGTAGACGTGCAAAAACTTCTCTCAAACCAATAAGTTACATCTTCAAAGAGCATGGATTCATCAGTGAAGCGGTCAGGCCATGAAGAAAAAGACATGTCAGGCTTTTTATTGAGTTTCCATCTCCTTAGTGACGTTTGTGACAACCACAGGCCACACTTGTCTTTACTTCTTTCATTTTTATGTGGAACAATGAAAAGGGGTAGCACATTTTTGGTTGGCTAAATGTATGGACTTGACAAATGACAGGGCAAACCTGCACATTCCTTTATGTCTCTTGACAGGAAGATTGGAAACATGAAGGTTATGGAAAATCTGTCAGCCAAAATCTAGACTGGAAAAAAGTTGAAAACACAGCAATGTGTAACACCAGTCTGTGACCCTAGCAACTAACAGTTGACCTAATGCCTTGTCTTAACATCTAACAATAAATAACATAAGATGCTCAAAGGATGAAGTGAAGCTAATGTGTGACATGAAAAACACAAATGCAATTAGCATTGTTCCAGGACAATACAGGCATCACTGGCCTTACTCTTATTGTAAATATTCAGATAGAGCTTATCCTGAGTTAAAACAACCAGATGCATGGGAATGTTACACACCAGCATACATGCACACACACACACACACAATAAACATATTATTGTAGCAAAATAGCTTACTTTACAAAAGTTATTCAAAATTGTATTTCAAATAATAACAACTAATCATAATTAGCAATACAATTAGTACCTATTAATTGATCATTAAACATTACTTTTTGTATAACAATAAGTTTGTCTTTGGGCAAATGCCATACTTTTTTACAGGGCAGAAGAATTATGAAAAACAAATAGACAGATGGGTACCATCTGCAAACTGACACCATTTAATGCAGGAATCTGATGCATGAGCTTATAGGGTTGACAGAGTGACATGAAAATAAACACTTTCTTGCACTTCTATAACGCAAAGCTGTTAAAGACACTTGTTATGCCAAGGCATCACCGGAGGATTTGCGTCAGACCCTTGCTCCTGAAGGCAGTAAGATCACAGGGATGTGAACTGCTCACTACAACAGGAGCAACTTTTTTCACACAGGGCAAACCCCCCCACCCCCAAAAAAGCGTAAATACCATTGTTGACGTTTGCGTCTTGGAGACTCCATTTGTTTCTAAGCACAAGGAAATATCAGGTTAGCGGAAAGGATAAATAAAACTCCCTGACATAACCTTGAAAACCTTTCTGTCTTTTCTCAACTTTTCTCTCTATTTTTCTGCTCACAACTACATGCCCCCATCGTATGTGCAGGGGGAACTTGGAAAAACAAAAGACTTGTTTTAGTAATGATACTGTAATGAATGAATGCATATGTCCTGTACTATTATCAACATGCTTCTAGTCACTATGCAATGAGAGCATATGTTCTCTGTAAGCAAACATTCTCGTCATCAATTGCCTTAAATGGGATCGTATGCTGTGAGAGCAGGAGTGCATATAGAAATTACTTAGTAAGGAGGTAGGTCTACCCTCCGAGTGAGTGTGTGTGTGTGTGTGTGTGTGTGTGTGTGTGTGTGCCTATAACCTGACACTCACTTATGTGCCAAAGCTGTGTTTAATTAAGGAGAATGTAAAGTCATTTGTGTTTTTACTTCACTGAGCTGTTTGTTTTCTTTATACTGCCTCTTTTCTTTGCCCTTTCTTATTTATCTCATTATTTATTTTATATTCTCTTCTCACTTACTCCTTTCTTTACCCCGATGTGTCATTTTTTAAGTTTTATGTCACACCTTGTATGTCACACAAAAATCACACAGAGCAAGTCTGGTAACCACCACCAACCAACATCAGCAACCTCCCCCCCCCCCCCCCCCCCACCTCCCCCACCCCCCCCCCCCCCCTCCTCTAATTCCCCCATTCTAGTCAGGACCACCACAGAGCTGTGTGCCCAAGAACCCAGCTGTGATTGCATGAAGGCTTGAACTCATTTCTGTTGCATGAACTGCCAAATGTACAGTATGCTGTTTTATATTAGCCTTTGGATTTTAGAATATAGGTTTTCACAGTAAGATTCAACATAAATGAAATGGAGAATTTAAATCAGGTCAATATTGAGCTTAATCTTGAAATGAGATAACTGGACATTTCATCACTGCCTTATTCATTAGTATTTTTTTATTAAAACTTTAATTGTGAAATAAATACACCTCTTTACTAACCTTCTGATTTTGTTTGTTGACAATAATGATACAGACGTGCACCAGGTTTCTACCACAACCATTTATCTGGCTAATTTGCTCTGAAGCTGTAAATTGGTTAGACTTTTAAAATGTAATTGTTATTCATTGTAGAATTTACAAAAACCAACAGGTGGTGGTTTTAGGAGATTTGGTTAGTTTTTACTTATATTTTAAAACAGCATGTTGAATGTTGCAAAACCCACATAAATGCCTGGGTATACCTTTTTGACATTTGAAGTTTAGATTAATGCTTGCGTTTCCAAAACAAATGCCCTTTAAAAAAGCCAGAACATTTGAATAAACATCCAGAAAAACAAAAGGGGGTCCATAAAGGCATGACAGGACCAAATATGTGCACAAACATGCACCTCCCTGAGAACAACTCTCCATTTTACCAGACACTCAGAAACATAAAATTTGATATACTGTATTCTGCAGAGCTCTCCAATAAAACATAAGACTAGTGTGAGGTTCATTGGAATGTAAAAGGAGAACACAGGAGTAATATATGTCACCACTGAAACAACAAAATCAAAGTGGTACTGCAGACAGACGCTGGACAAACCAAGCTGTCATGTAACAGCCAGCAGCAGAATGCATGACATTTTTCATGGAAAATAAGATTTTATGGTTTATTTTCTGATTTCACTCATTTGTCTTTGAGCATGACAACCAAGCACAGACTATATTGTATATACTACTCCCTGGGTTGCAGCTCTAACAACACACACACTCAGTTTAACAAATTCTTGGGCCCAAGTTCTTGTCAGCTGTGATGATTTAAAAGTCTCTCACTTGCCCCGATAAGCTAGTTGTTTCGATGATCGATCTATTAGCATTTTGAGATTAGAACTGCAGCGTCATTGTCCTGGCTATTTTCAGAGGACAGAGAAAAGTCACAAGTTTCATACAAAAATATTTCTGCAGCACAGTGTGTTATCAGCTAGAAGTCAATATGAAACACCTATTATTGAAAGGTCGTCTGACATCAAAAGTGATCCAATGGGGGAGAAAAGAAGGAATGAAAAAAAAAGCACATGCCCAAAGCTAACAGCTTTTGTTTGCCATGCTGAGTGTATGTATACATATGTCAACCCTGTTCCAGCTTTGGATCAACAAGTGTGGGCTGGAGATACAAGAACAAACAGAACTAAGATCTGAAAAGAAGCCCGACTCTTGTTTGTAAAAGAGCTGTCACACTTACTGGCACTTTTAGTAAAAAACAATTTCCAAGGGTGTAATGACATAATGTGCCACACAAAGCACTATTCACTTTCTGTAAATGTGACGTCGTCTGGTGAAACTAACAATGAAGGCACTCCCATGTCCCAACAGACAATACACACCGCACTTGAGTCTGCAGTAGAATCAATTAAACAACCTTGTAGTGACAGCAATAAAACAGATAATCATGACTCTGTTTTACAGCAAAACATTGTAGTATGGAGGAGGCCTAAGACTGTCAGAAGTGGTACAATGTCAGCAGTTAAATATCCATCAATCCTTATTTGCCCTTATATTTTAAGAGGATGCAACAACATTGCTGTATTAAGTCAAGAATTTTGTCACTAAAGCCAGTGCGGACCCCACTCCAGGGTTTTCTAGAGGTTAAAGAAATCATTGTGTAACAAAGAAGGACAGCAAAGTAAAAATAAGGCAGGCGGCCAGCAGGGTACGGCCAGAAATATGCCACTATGATGTCACAGTGTGAGCACAACCACAGCGACCACAGGAGCCAAAACTATTCAGGAACATTGCACTGGGTGTGAGACAACTGTGCTGCAGTGAATACAGGCCACAGTAGGTCACACTTGACTCCTCTAACAGCTCTCTCCAGTAAAACACCCTCTTCTACATTTCTTCTCTGCAATTAAGTTGTTCCACTGAGGACTGACACAGCCTACGATGGATAACATCGTTCTCAAGGCCACAGGTTTCAAGAGCAGATACTGGGCCTTAGGTTTATTTGATTTAATATATGCTTACATAACACATTACTTTGTCCGATCTCGCTTGCCTTTAAAACTTAGTCCCTTTCCCCCAACTGCTCTTTTTCTAACCTGCCAGCACATGAACCAGATGTGCGACTTTTTTTTTTCTCACTAGTCAAGATGTATTTCAAAAGAAAGGCAGGTTGAGGATAGAGGAATATTTGACTTCACTCCATGGGAGAGCACTTCCATAAATTTTGGCGGCCGTACAACGATGAAAAGGTACCTTGGCTGCCTTGGCCAGAGGAGAACGTTGACGGCATACCAAACAACGTGATCCTAATGAGTTGGAAAATCCCAGGCCCTCCAGAGGACTGTCCAGATGCTACCGTCATGAGAAACGCTACTGTTTTATTGAATTTGGGCTTCCCTCCCTTTCTTTAACAAGAGGGCAAAATTTATTATTTGACCATTAAGGCATCTTGGGCCACGTGAAGCATAAAACCAAGTTAATTTGCCTCTGGCTGAAGGCCAAAAATCCCACAAAATCCACAAGAAAAGTAACCCATTGTGACAGAAGTATATATGACATGAACATGGCATGAATGATGTAGACTTTTGGAATAAGGATAGAGACCTAGGTATTCTGGACCCAGATGGGCAAGTTTTGGATAAAGGACAGGTTTAAACATAACGTCCTGAACCAAAGGTATAAAAACTGTGTTTTCTTTCTTTGTTTTAGCCCGAGTCAGTATATGTTTTGAAAGCTTCACCTGGTGTTTTGTAGACGTCATTAAGCAGACTTTCGCTGAGAGTCATTGGAGCTCCGTTCGTCATGCTGTGGGTCCAGCTCTGAAAGATTGTATGGAGCAAAAGCGTCTGGGCCCTGGTCGCCTGTATGGTGAAATGGGGAAGCTCAGAAATGCACTCCGTGGTGGGGACCGAGGACTTTTTGCTCCTATAAGAGAGGGAAAACAAACAAAATGGAAAAGATAGACTGAGATAAAATGCAGGGAAATAAGGAGAAAATCAGAGAAACAAGGCATGACAATAATAATAATAATAAATGGGAGAATGGTGTGTTGCACTCGAGTGCTAATACACACTAAGTGAAACTGACACCAGTGGAAACAAATGTTTCACATATTCCACAAATCTATTACAATCACATCCCTGAATAAAACAGATCATTGAATGCATGAAGGGCCAAATAGGTAGAACTGAGCTGCAAACAGAAAAGTGAAAAGAAAGCCAGGCTTTACTAAGTGGCTTGGCAGATAGATGAAGTTTGCCTCTCTGCCACCGACCCTTTTCTTCCCTCCATCCAAACTGTGACGATGATTTATGTGAAGATGCGTACACCCCAGAAACCTGAGCCTGAAAAGAATCTCCACGTATTTGACATTTCATCTGTCTCCAAGAGAGTAGACAGAGTGTGTGTGTGTATGTGTACATAGATGTGTGTGAGTAGCTGATGAGTTGAGTGTTTAGGGGAATGAGGTAACACAGTGATTTGGAGACTTCCAGGCCCCTGTCCATCAGAACCTCAGTGGAGCATGCTCCCATCTATCATCCAACACACACACACACACACACACACACACACACACACACACACACACACATACATACCTACACAAACATACAGACAAGCTTTTTTCATTTGCTCTCAAATCTCAACATTCTAGTTTTCACCTCTGTACCTGATCATAAACATCCCAAACTCATTTACACACACGGCTCTCACACCAGACTGGATCCTGACACATGTACTGTCCTTGTGAGCTGTGATGCTGTCAGATGTTGGAGCTCTGCCCTTTTTTCCATCTATGACATTAGCCTTAGCAGGAAAAAGGGATTTTCCCAAAATAGACACACAACAAAGAGAAACCATAATACACATCAAAGTTAACGATGCCTCTGTGGTTTCACACTGTTTCCTGCAAAGTTGGCACACTCCCTTAAAGTGTGAAAGCTGAAGAAAATATAAATCCATAGTGTATCGTACATTGCTGTGTGTATGTGTATATCTATATCTATATAGATATATCCATATCACCGTCGCTGCAGTGAACCGCTGTGCTGTGACTGAAGTGACCGTCTGATGATGTCACTTAAATTTTCATGAACTGACTCAACATTCTGCTCGTTTTACATATACAGTATATATACATAATATATATATATATAAAGATATGTATATACAGTATATATACATATATTTATATTTATTGAAGGCCAACCTACTTAAAAGAAACAGAAGTCAGGCTAGGAGGGTACACTGATGTAAAAAACAACAAATTGTTAAAAAGTATTTTAAGACTGAAGTATATTTTCAACAATATACTGTAATAATACTGCCTTAATACCCAAGTAACACTTGAACAGGTCAAAAAATGTTTTTTAGCCAGGTAGTACTTTTGTTAAAAACATCCTTCGAATGTAAAGTTCAGTGGCTTCCCTCTTTCTTCAGGTAAGACGAGATGTTAGCTGCTCACAGAACGCTCCAGAGTTCTGTACCGCCTGCTGTCCAGGCAGGGAAATTGTTTAAGGGGGAAAAAAAAAGGTTTTGATAGAAAGAGATGTAAAGTTTTGGGGGTGGGGGGCACAAGCCATAGCCGAGAGAATGAAACTCCAAACCTGACAGGGTCAATGAGGTTACCTTGATAGCATGTATTTGGAATTCTCTGGCAACATGTGGACCATTTGGCACAATGGTGAACCATGCAATGTCATGCTTCTCTCCTATTAAAAATTACTACTGTTGTAAGCTATACAGCAAGACATCAATCAAGCCTTTTTCCATGTGTGTTCTTGTGTGTTCAATTGCCTGCATACCCACGTGCATGCAGGCATATGTGTGTGTGCATGTGTGTAAACACTCTTCTGAACAAAAGAAAGTGAAGGGGACCAGCAAAAACAATGTCCCCACATGCAGAGCAAATGTGCCGGCAAAAGCCACTTCAATGAGAGCACTGGCAAGGGATGAAAGTTTGTTGGCTTATTCAAGTGTTTATAGCGTTTCAGGGGAGCTGTCATGTGCATGTGGTCGTCTAAAACTTTAATTATGCACCTGTTTTTATTATATTATGCCCAGTTCCTTGTGAACAGCAACTTGAATCCCACAGCTAAATGAGAAGCAGAAACTCTCATTAGGCTGTTTTGGGAATGCTGGATGTGAGGACAGCCAGACATTCATTGGAATTCATTAAATACATGGCACAGTCAGTGTTTCTCGCTGCTCCGCGGTAAACATCTTCCTGGCAGGCAACTCTTCCCCTGTTGCCATGGGTTTTGAAGAAAATAAAACTGTCCAAGTGGTAAATATAGAAGGATTAATACCTGCAGCATTACACATTACTACTTCGCCATGACTTAAAACCTGAAACATGTTTTTGCATGGGGGCTACTAACAAATTTAATATATTACTACAGAGCAGGGTCCATATTAGAAACAGAATCTTCAGCCTGGGCAGCTGAAGTTATTATGAATACCTTAACTCTAATTAAATGAGAGAGACCCACCAGGCTTATGACCCACTTTGGATCAAGACTCATAATGTGAAAAATCATGTCCTAGCCTTGAACTTCACTTAAATGGTGACCTGTGACCTCACAGTAGTCACTTGTGTAAATAACATTTTTATTAAGACACAAAGGCCACCGGGAAAACGTTATAGGGAAGTCAAAATTAGTCAAGAGGTTTTGAAAAATTCAGTGTTTCACCTCTCGTGTGGATGAAATATACTTCCCTCTGGTGAATTTTAACAACATTAAACCTCATTTCCTGACCTGTCACAGGTTGGTGCCACAACTGAGTGATGAAGAACTACACAGGTGTCGGGACAGGACAGGCCAGTTGGCCTGCATTTGCTAAATACTTTGCAAGGTAAGTGGATGGTGGGGTGGTACAGAGTGTGTCTGTGTCTTGTGTCCCTTCCCTGTCAAAAATTAAGCAAAACATGAGCAGTGTTGAGCAGAGGGCATGAGTCAGTCATGAAGTATCATAGCAGCTGCGTTGCTCTTTTCCTGCTCTGTTTCCTCCATATACACACTGCAATGCAGACATTCAGCAGGGACTGCAAATTATTTCTATTCATTTAAATAAAGTACCAAAATCTATAAGTGGGTAGACCTTACATAGGGAACAGGTTGCACTACTCCCTAACATTGAAGTAATGCGAATACAGCTGCATAAGACGTAAATCTCCAGGGCTGTGATTGCTGCTTAACAAAGTCCACGCACAAGCACTGGCAGGAAAATAGATACACTTAAATTGGGAAACAAACTGGTTTTAATGGTTCCAAATATGCACCCAAAGTATATGCACATTCACGCTTGGCACACAAGCACACATGAATACACACCTGTGCATTCATGCAATTAAATCAACAGCAGGATGGTGAGGTAAACCACGAAGAACAACAGTAATGAGCACAGTGCTGCCAAGGTGCCTGCTGAGCTAACAACCTGCAACTGAAACAATAACAAGACTACTTGCCAGTGCGTAAGGCTGAAAGAACTCTGCATGTGTGTGTGAACTGCTGAAAGCACAAATAAGGGAAAATTGGAGGAAGAAAAAAAAAACGCTGCAAATCAACAGATCACACATTGTTCTGCAGGTAAAATAATACCTAACATAGGAGGAAAGACTCCAGAGTGAACTCTGGGGGACAGGACCTGGTAGGTTGTGGCTTTGTGTTTTCATAAACATAACATAAAAGCCCAACTATGAAATAATGACTAGAGTGTGTGTGTGTGTGTGTGCGTACACGTGGAGGACCATCAATGTGTTGAAATCTAAACATGCTGTCTTTAATGCCGATCTGCTGACAGAGGCAGGACATAAAGCAAACTATAAAAGCACTAAACTGAACCAAATGTGGTCTTGAATCTCTGTTTTTTTCTGACTTTATAAAGATCATCATCCTGCTGGGATTGAAGGAACCTTTGCCAAGAGCAGCTGATCCTAATGGTTTACACACTGCTGCAGATTCTTGCAGGCACACTCATCAGACACTTCATTAGGTACACCTGCTCAAGCGCTTGTTAATGAAGATATCGGAACATATATAAACATCTAATTGTTCGAACATAGACGGCAAAAATGCATCTCTAGTACAACACGGTGTACCTAATAAAGTGGCCAGTACCAGACATGCAGTCTCAACATTCCCATTGTTATTGGGTTTCAGGTCATTTTTGGTTTTAAATCTAAATTTTTCTACCAACAGCCATGTCAATAACTGTGTGTTGTAAACAGTGTGTGTAAACAGTTTTAACTACAATGAAGAAAAAACATAAATATAATAATTATGCAGTGATTTAGTTGTTATTTAGGTCCACTTGACATTAAAAATGGGTGGTTAGTGCACCTGCCCTACAGTAATGATATAGTTGATGCCATCCCAGCAGTAACTAATTCCCTTTTTTAAAATAGATTTTGCATGGCTGCTTGAGACTCTACTTTTTTTTTTTTAATATTTCTATGCATTTAGAAGACACTTTTATCCAAAGTGACTTACAGGAGGGGGAAGTGCCATTAAGGATCTGTGCTAACCGCTATACTGCGGAACCACCATTAACAAGATGAATGATTGAAGATCGAACACCCAAAATGTTAAGACCAACCAAAGTCAGGACAGTAAAAGCTACAAAAGTCACATTTTTGTGCTACTTTCTCTTCCATTTACCTTATCTGAGTCTGTTTGCAAAGTCCACAGTGAGATTAATGTAATTCATTAGGTCCTGACATATTTGTCTAATAGATACAACAGATAGCCACTGTCTTGAGACCACTGATAAGTTATCTCAAGTTTCTACAAATCATTCACTGTCACACCAAAGCTAACTAACCAATCCAAACATTCCTCAACTGAAAAAAATGACACACATCGCGCACACACACACACCTAAACTGCCTTTGTTGCCTTTTTCTGGAAGCTTCTTTGGAGGGA